CCTTACAACCATGGGGTAAACCAAATAAATTACTGGCTAAGTGTCTTTTTGGTAGTACAAAACGTCAGGTTAATTTCAATATTGTAACTTTTTCAATGCTTGTGAAAAAAATTGTTATACAAATTTTATGTACCCCCTTTAAGGGGCTGTATCTTAACAAGGAATGCTTCAATGAAGTTTCTTTATATGAAAGATCCTATCTTTTTTTCGATGTGGAATCACCTCCTTAAATGTTTTACTCTTATTCAGTTACACCCTGTATAGGAGACAAAACAGGTCACAGGGTTGATCCTCGTGGTACCCCACATTATATTTTTTACATTATCCATTATGATATGTCATCCTATATTATGCATTATTTTCAGGAAAATTGTATGGTCCATATTATCAAATGCTTCTTCAGGTCTAATGACGGAACTCCATATTTTTTATTCGAATTTAAATCTAGCTAGAATTGGGTTATGGCACCAACATTGAGGATTCTTATTTTTTCGAATTCCAGATTGCCCATCATATAATAATTTTAACTTTTCAAGATATTCGAACAGATAGAATTGGTCTACAATTTATCATTTTCTCTTTTCTATCTGCTTTAAAAGATAGTTTGACAATTTTCGCATTAGTATTGAACATCATCTATGATGAAATTGGCTGATACTTGATAAAAATCCATAACTAACGTATTCAAAAAACAGTTTATTGTGTGATTTTCACTGAACCGTGTAACAAAAACTCAACACGTGTTTCGCCATATAATGGCTTCTTCGGGCGTGTCTACTCGTTTTTGTGAAACTGTTTGGTGAAAATCTCACAATGAAGTGTTTTTTGAATCCATCAAACATCATCATCATCTAGTAATTATATAATTAGGTATTATTCAATTTGATTATAATGTATGATATGGCAAGGAAGTATTTTTTCATCTGTATCTTTATCTGTAGAATAGGGAGGGTAAGTGTAGACCCACAGCTCTTAGGTCATATGTCACCCATTGTACATCCTTCCGAGGAGTTGTCCTCCTGGGTAATCGTCCTTTCCAGGAAGGTGGACAGGTCACTAGGAGACATTTCCTTCATATCGGCAGATGTAGGCCAGGACTCGCCAAACACACACTTTCCTATTGACTTCGGACACAAGACATGCCTGATAGCCCCATAATATGGAGGTGTTTCCTCAGTTGACAGTGGCCAGTCAAAAATCCTACTGTCAAGCGTAGGTTTTTCCTGGTCATCGCCAGATATTTCTTCGGCGCCAGCTTCCCAGGGTTGCCCAGGGTGATCCTGGCAAGTCTGCATCCTTTGATTCCATCCCATCTCTTTACGAATTGAGCATGGGGATGACGTACGGCTAGTTTCGCAATTGTCGAAGTCATCAGGCCGTAGGTGTCACTGGGTCCTAAAATTCTTAGTCCAGCCGCTTCCTTGGCTAAAGAGTCGGCAGTGCGATTACCTTTACTCCTGTCGTGCCCTTTAACACACCTCAGGTTGATGTTATTATCTATTGAGGCTTTGACTAAATCTTGGTGGCACTCTAGTACTAGCCCTGAGATAAGACGTTGTCTGTTCAAAGCTAATGAAGGTTAGTGAACTTGTTTTGTTCATTATATCTACCTTTTTCGACATCAAATTTCATTTCATCGTTTGCAATCTTTTCATTATTGTCACGTATCTAATTTTCAGCATTACAAAAAATCTGGAGCTTGGACTTGTGACTGGACTATTCCTCTAGAAGTTGGACTGAACTATATGATGAACAACAGAACAGACTATCTGATTGCTATCGATGCTAATAACGATATTGTGAAAATCAGTAATACAGATGGTTTAACTTATTTAAAGCCAAGTATGTGCGGTATCACAGATTTTTGTTTGGTGAATCCTGTGGGAGAATATATTGTAGCGCTGAGAAATGGAAAATTTCTGACCGTTTTCGAAGTGGAAACGGGAAAATCAGTAAGTACTGGAACATTAAAGTAACACTTCATTTGAGAAAGTAAATATTTCAACACAACCGATGCAATCGGTCGATTTTTAGCCTGATTTATACGCCAGAGTTATATAAAAAGGTCTTCCCAACGAGGATATCTCACACCCACTTTTGTTTTATCAAAATTTAAAAATAGAAAGCACTCATTGAAAGACACTATATAACGATGTGAATCATATGTCTATCTACCTTCCTTTTTAGAATTCTTGAATGCCTTAATTTTCAACCATTCCAAAAGATTGAGTTTGATATACATTGTCATACAAAATTCAACACAAATACAAGACACTTTTTCAGATTTTTTTCCTTCAACATAGTCCCTTTCACCGCTAAACATTTCTCCCAGCGATGCTCCCATCTGTATCTGTATCTGTATCTGTAGAATAGGGAGAGTGAGCGTAGACTCACAGCACTTAGGCCACATATGACCCATTGTACATCCTTCCGAGGAGTTGTCCTCCTAGGTCATCGTCCATCCTGTCCTTTCCAGGAAGATGGACAGGTCACTAGGAGACATCTCCTTTATATTGGCAGGTGTAGGCCAAGACTCGCCGAACACACACTCTCTTTGACAACCTTGAGGTGTTTCACGGTGGCCTTCTTGGGGTTCCCTCCATGGAGGTACACAAGTGAGGAAGCTTTTCTGCAGGGTCAGCCAGTTCATTGCCTTTATTCAAGGCGGAGCTCTTGGCGCTAGCCGCAGGAAGTGCCCTTGCTGTTGGAGGTGATCTGCAATGTCCAGCCTCATTCCAAGCGGAAGATTGGGGTGGACATTTCTGTTCATCCTCAGCCACCGCCTTAGATTGAGGTGAGCACTTCTGTCCAGCCTCAGGATTGGTTTCTGTTTTTGTTGTTTCCGTTTTTGTGTTTGTTCCATTCATGTGTGTTCCTACGAGTAGCAAGGGAAGAGTTGGTCACCTCTAGCAGATCCCCGCATCATGGTGGTAGGCTAATTACAATGAGGTTCTCCCAAGCGGATCGTTCGTGACCGCATATCACCCTGCGGCCATTCAGCTATCGGCACGATTCCTTACACCTTAGCTTGAGTAGGCTGGTCCACGGTAGCATGTTTTGCAAAGGATTTTGGGAAATTTTAGTTCCCCTCACCCTACTAATTTCTGCCACTGACCAGGAGTCCGGTGACCCCGTCTGTGAGGCCACATTGGCTTTCCGGATAGGGCCTCCAGTCCCCCGGCCGTTCCCTTATCCGCCACCTGGGGACGCGCCCGTCCAAATAGTACTCGGCGTATTTCTCTGCAAAATAATTGTGTTCACGAAGGTGATCGCCTTTGCATTTGATGAAAATCTCTGTCCTAGTATGTTCCTGTAATGGTTTTTCTTTTCCTTGTTGATTACGGCGTTCACAGTCAGATGGGGCGATGATAATCATGTTGTTTATTGTTCGCTTCAGCCTAGTTCGAGGAATGATACTCTGAAGGAATTAAATTTTCAACTCTCGAAAATCATCGACTTTATGTTGATGATAGACACTATCATGCACTGACAAGTAGCCAAACAGCCCGAAACGGGCTGACAAGTAGCCAAACAGCCCGATTCCGGCAGTTGTATCATCAACAGCATATGCAGGAATAACTTTAGTGAAGAATCCTGCACTGACATTTGTTGGATATAATCCAACGCCCTTCGTGGTATCAGCCAGGGAAGTAGTTGTTTTCTGATAGGTGTTAGTCCATTAACCTACAGTGTAGGTAATTCGAGCCTGCCTTGAATGTTGAATTGTTTTTTTAGATAATTTCTAAGTACGCCCACTCAATTTGTGTAAAGGACATGCGTTCATTCGAAACCAGATATTTGGATGTTTTCGAGAGTCTGGAAATAACAAAGTGTGGCATAATAACTATGAACAATAAGAAAAATCCTATTCCAAACAGCCTATTGGTCACCTTTCTATGAATCACTCTGTTAAAATTAGCGTGATTTTTTACGAGAAAATTTCCCTCAAATTTCTAAATTCTTAATAGAGACCTTTTTCAGAGTTAGGAATTAGTTTTCTTCATCTTCTGAAGACGCCAACATTATTGCAGTTCTGATCTTTGCCAAAGTGCTTGTTTTGCACTGTCGGAAGTTCTAATCAGATCCAAGAACAGAGCATTATACATGGTGCTATGTAATAAGTGTCAGATATTTTGCAGGACAGTTCCTCAGTTATTCATAAGGTAGAGACCTACATAAATAGAGTTGCTCGTTTAGGGGTATATGTTTCTGGTTTTTTATTGATTTGTTAATTTCCATGGCCTCCAACAAACTCATTTTTTCCCTTTATCACATATGAATTTTGAGTTTATCCTCATTTATCTTGTGGTTTGATTCTTGAAGATGTTCGTACACTGCAGATTTTTTGTCCAAACAGTTGTGTTCACTCAATCTTTTGTCAAAATTTCTACCGGTTTGGCCTGTATATACTGCAGATCATTTGCCACACTCTATTCTATATATACCTGATTTTTTCATTCTATACTGTTTGGGTTTTTGATTTAAACAGGGTTTTGCCTATATTATTATTACTTGTAAGAGCTGTTGATATTTTGTATTGAGAGAAATAATTTTGAATATTATCTGAAAGTTTACCTGAGTAATTGACGCTACTGTACTTGACTTTGTTGTGTCCTCGGCAGTTTGGGTATAATTTACTCATGAGTGTTTTGTGAGTTTTACCTGATATTATCTTTTCTGCTAGGGAAATTGGTACCTGAATGATCGCTGCAATTTGCTTAATTATTTTAATTACATCTTGGAAGTTCTTTTCCGGTAAAGGGATTGTGAAAGCTCTGTGTATCATTGATCTTAACGCTGATAACTTATGTGAGAGCGGACTGAAAGAGTCAAAGGGAACTGTACAGTCTGTGAACTTGTTTTTCCGGTAGATATTGCATAGAAAACCATTATTATCTCCTGAAATTTTCAAATCTAAGGAGTTAAGCTCCTTGTTTTGTTCGATTTCTACTGTGAACTAAATTTTGTTATGCAGACTATTGAGAACGTTTGAAAATTGATTCATTTGTCTCTTTGAACCATCAAAACCAACCAGTACGTCATCAACATATCTGAATGAAAATACCCTCTGAAAGAGGGTTATTAAGGATGAGGGTGTTTTCTAGTGTGTCCATGAAAATGTCTGCCAGAATGGGACTTAATGGTGAGCCCATAGGGAGACCCGAGTTTTGCAGGTAAAAATTATTATTATATTTGAAGAAATTTTTTTTCAGACATGTATCCGGGAGATTGCAAAATTCGGTAGTTATATATGGATTTGTATGACTCTTATCTAATATGTATTTTACGAGGGGAAGACATTCGTCTATTGGGATTTTGGGATATATGTTTTTTACGTCGAACGATACTAGTTTGATATTATTTTTGATATTCAGATTTGATAGTTTGTCAGGTAGGTCTACTGAATTAGAACTGTGTTTGAAGGATTAAATTTTGTGAATTTTGAATTGAAAAATTTAGACAACCTACTGGTTGGGACATTTATATATGATACCACGGGTCTGGCTGGATGTCCTTCTTTGTGGAGTTTGATTAATCCATACAATTCTGGAGGTTGGGGGTTCATGCATAATATCTTTATGTGGAAAACAGCATTGTTGATTCCTCCATGGCCTTTTTAGCTTACTGGGAATACATTTTGGTGGGAACATTTCTTAAAATGGTGTCATCTAATGTATCCACCACTTCTTTCATTTTCGAAAAGTACTCTTTTTCTTCTAGACATACTATGCTGTTTGGTGAACATGATTTTGTTGTGGGTTCTTTCTTTCGTCCTTTAGAGTGTCTTTGATATTCCTGGGATAGCTGGGTGAATGAGTATTCTTAATGATTTCTACTACTTTGTGTTTGTGAAGGAGTGGGTCATCCAGTTTGTTGATGTTGTGTGAGATAGCTAGTTCAGCGTGTACTCCTATGATGTCTTTCATGTTTCTTTTGTCTGGGGGGGGGAGAATTTTGGCCCTTTTTTCAGCAATTCCCTTTCAATTTCAATAATGAAAATTCACCCCCTCAGACAACGCCAACAAACTGGATAAGTTTCCCAAAATATTATTGATTCATGATTTTTTAATTTTGTGCAATCATTTTAATATTTTTCATGGGTTGCGACTAATTATAATTCATTATTTTTTGTTCATTTCAGATATCAAATTTCACCCTCCAAGGTGAAGTTGTGAAACTGAGAGGAAATAATTATTTTCCTTATCTGGCGGTCGGATATGACAAAGGATATATGGAATTGATATCTACTTATAACCAAGAGAAACTCTCTGTGTTGGCGTCTTTCCTTTTGGGTTCTACTCCTATTCAGCAAGTGAAATTTTTCGAAGAGGGCAGGATAATCGTTGCAGGATGTTTAGATGTGGGCGATATTTTTGTCATCGAGGTATCCTCGGACGAAATTCTAGTAGAGTTAGATAATTTTACTGGCATGTTTTGAAGGGAATTCCTGGGACCCATATGAAAGTCATCGCTCACGTAGAAGTCAAGCGTCAAATTGTCGACTTACGAAATGATTTTTCGGAATATTAATCTTTCCCAACTACCTACATAGTAGGGTCTGGTAAACGTCTGTCGGAAAATAACTACTTCCCCGGCTAATACCACGCTGGATGGGGGTTATCAATATTTTTATTCGTTTCAGAAGTATTCAAAGTGAGACATTTTGGAAGGCTCTGAATATGCATGAAAATATAGGTACACATACCGACATCAGTATAGGGAAAAAAATTCTTAAGTCCACAATTTTTTTTTTTATAAGGTCTATGGTCTGAAAGTAGTGGGTGCCAATTGATATAGTACTAGCTTATGAAGCGATATGGAACTTGTCAGTTTCAGGTTTGTGGGGCCATATCGGAAAAACGACTTCACAAAAACATATACACTGAAGGGTGCTGCACAACATCATACTAAAACAGATGGCAATCGGTTAAGATGACCTCATTTATAAGAAAAGCCTTCATACTGTTCCAGAAATTAATTTGGGCCTAAGAATCGCCAATACCGAATTGGCCTAGTTTCTACATTCGTAACAATAAGAGGGTTTGAAATAGTTTTTGTCGTTAATCGGCTAGCATCCCTAGACTAACAACTTTCAAAAATCATCAGCTATGGGAGTTATTTCCATTATCTCACTGATTTACATGATATGTATTACATAAAGCTTGTCAAAACCAGGAAGAGGCTTGTGAATTCTCTTTCTTTCTCACAGTCTCCTAGGTTAGGTTAGTTCCAAAGTGAGTGGGTCTATTCAACCCTCCACCACAACCCGCAAGGACTTATTGTGGCTCTCACCTATTCAAACTCGACCAAATAAACCCAGCTTCTTAACGAAGCCGATCAGTTTATATGTTGAGTGGTCTTTCAGGTCAGATGGTTAGAGTACGGGTCTGCCAAACTCTGAAAACCTGATTAGGTCCCCAGCAGGGCAGGCACAAAGTATGTGCTCTGCTGTTTCATCATTTTCCAAACAAAGATCACAGTCTCCTAACGAACGCGCATCTTAGGGGAGGTCTTAAGCCGAGACTTTGGAGTCGCTTCCTAGATTTGACAAGCTGTACATGATATGCTTTATAACAATTAAAAAAAAATACATTTCAGGACTCACTAGTGAGATTGCACCAAGAGATCAAAACAGGCCATCAATTGAGACATTTCGAAGTTAGACTAACCGAAAGGCATGCTGTGACATATGGTTTCGACGGTTTCATTATAGCCAGATGTAGAAAATTCGATCAACAAATAGGAATGGCCCTTCCTCATCACCGATACCTTGGAGGTGTCCAGAAAGCCTATATCGACCCTATTGCAAAACACATAATATCCTTGGGAAGAGACGATGTTCTTGTATGTACTAACTTAGTCGATAATGAAGTCGATGAGGATTGGAAACAATCTCTGGTGGCTTTGAAGAATTCGACTAGGTACGCCCTCATGTTCAAGAGGCCGACGATTGGGTTCAAACCAGAAGGTAACTATTTTTTTTCAGTCCAGGAAATAATGCGGAGTAGGGTAGAATATGCTTCAATTTAATTTTCTATCCCCCACTATGGGTGGAATTTTGAGATGGAAGAGCACCAAGTCGCATACCATTTCGAGAGATTTCGAATCATCTTCCTAAGAGTACCATCATTTATTGGTTGTTGGCCAACAGAAATTATGGGTAAACAAATGAACTGCTATTCGGAAATGATCAACTCGAGAAAAATTAGAAACAATACCAATAAATATATGGTTACACATTAATGAACTGTGGGTGAAACATTCAACAGTTTATTCAGCGACCTCATTGGAATATATTCATGAACGCCCTTGATACTACCATTAGATTATTGGTCCTAGGCATATCGAGGAAAAAATATAATTATTTTTATGAATGCACACATAATCCGCTTTCTTTTCCATCGTCACTAGCACCGTGAGCATCCATGCAATAGCATTGTAAGTGCAATTGTATGTAACAGTGAATTTCCAGTATTTCGACATTGGTTACTGTCATCATCAGGAAACTACAAACTTTTTTTAATTGAAAGTGGAAACGTTGAAATTGTGACAATACTTAGAATTTTACTAGTGATGACTTCAATTGTCTAATCGGATTCTAAAATGCTTTGAAATTTATGGAAGAAAAAATGAAATTAAAATGAATAGGCTGAAATATCGTTTATATCAAGCAATAAAACATGGAATGAAATTACAATACAATAATTGAAAAAATCAACATGAAGGATGAAAATGACCACTGAGTGAAAACAAATCAAAGTAAAAATAAAAATTGACAAAAAAATAAACAATTAAAAACCAAGTTACTTCACGACGTTTCGATTGTTGATATCCACAATCGTCTTTGGGTAATGACCAGACTATTCCTCCAAGAGATAAGTATTTATAGGTCATTCGAACGCTTTCGCGTATCTCCTCTACCCTCTTTTAGCTTCACTGATTTAGCAGGAGTTGATCGTGTTTTCGTTTGATTACAGGTTTCTATATGTTGCGTATCTCTATGCTGGATTGGCTGAATGCGTCATTGGACAACATATATGCTGCTCCCCTGAAACTTCTCTCAAACCAGTGTTTCTTCCTGTAGATGATCTCAGCTTGGGACCACTTGATGTTATGTTGATAATTTCAAATGTAACCCCTATGATGGGTTTGAACTCTGTATTTATACGGAAGATACTTTCTGATAGGAATATTTATTTCCCAAACGAAGCCGCTATTGTAGCAAAGCTAGGCTTCAATTTTATATCGAGGAAAATAAAAATACCTTGATCTTGATATTTATCAGATGAATATAGTCTCTTTTTGATAGGGAAAACGATAAAAAAACCTCAAAATTAGAGCAGCCGCTTTCACCATTTGAAATTTAGAAATGGAGAACGATACTTATTGGAGAACTAGCTTAGATGTTGCCTACAGAAGTGATCACCCTCCAAAGGTTTGGCTTAGGTTAGCCTTATCAAATAGATACTGTTTTAGAATAGAAACATTTTTCACTCAAGTCCTTCTAGGCCCTTTGTCGCGATATGCCATTGATACCTCTCATACGAACTTTTCCTAGGGAGTTCCCTTATTTGTGTGAGAAATGAATTTCCTCTGTTTTCCCTACCAGTATAATTACCGGCAATAATACACCGTATTCAAAGTTAATAAGTATAATAAAAAATATAAGAAATGCAAAAGTTACAAATATGATGTAAACAACAAAATAAACAGGAAAAAACCAGACCACCAAAAGGAACACATAGGAACAACCAGATCATAAGAGGATGCTCAACCGGCATTCAATTGAATATTCATATCAACATGCCCTTTATTCGGCAACTCTGTATGAGATAAGCTATTTAAATAAATGTATACCCACAGTATTTCGATGAGAGTGCATGGTTAGCCACCCTAAAACTTTCTCACCAATAGCTCCGTTTAGCTGTAGATAGCGGCTGATCCTTTTATGTTTTACTGAATTCAACACAAGACATCAAACCAGAATTTCATTCGGTTGAACTGGCAACCAAAAAGGAAAATAAAGAAAAACCGGTTTTCCCCAAACTCCCAAAAGTGCCTCGAATATCACACTATTCGAATAACTCGCGATTGAACTCTCGTTTACCCCTTTCTTTCGAATACCTTATTAGTTTTCCGACTTTATCTCCTCAAAAAATATTCTCTAATTATTTTCTCTCAACTCGACCTTTCGACGACCCAAAACCACCGACGGGCACCTCTTGATTTCCCATCAAACCCACTCTACCGCGTTCCATTTCCCGCGATCCATTTTTCCCTAAGTCAGCGGATATTTCCCTTCTTAAAATTAAATGGGAAAGTTAAGGTCCATACATCCAATCCAAAAATTCAATTCTATCACTTAGGTCCTTCGGTCGCTTCGTGATTCGTTAAGTATTTCGGCCATCTTTAATTTGTTTTTAGCATACCGTTCCCAGCTTATCGCTGACTTTTCAAAAGACCCAACTGTGTTTCATAAACAAAGTGTCTCCAGCTATCAATAATAATGAGTTTTTTCGTCTGCCCTTAAAAAGTAACTATGAATAAAACCCACTGTACCTTGTGGTTAAAAAATATCCCTTCAGCACGTACAAATCATATGTACATCCCTTGAGTAAGATATCGTTTTCTTTTGGAAATCTTCCGACATTTATCGATTCCCCATGAACTTCAATTTTTCCTATTTAGACAAATATGTGAGACCACAAAAATTAAAAATACAGGGTGTCTTCTCATAAGACGAACAGTTTCAGGATTTGCCGCACTCAGGATATCCGGTAAATGCAATTTTTGGAATCAAAGTCCGCTTTTGGTTATCGTTATCGTGAGGCTGCCACGTATAGTGTTTCCTGATCAGAAGCAGGTTCTCTTGTATTGGACTTGGGCCCAATTCTACTTATCCTTTTCGATAATCCTCTAACGTAGGGAAGTACAAGCACTGGTTGTGACGGCTTCTCTTCCTCGTGAGGCTCTTGCTGTCTTCTAGCCAAAGCCTGTTCCACCATCACTTTGAAATTACCATTGCGTTGAAGATCTTTTTTGATGATGCCTTTTTCCTTCTCGAGACCTTCCTTCGTATTACAGGGTCTGCATGCACGACCCACTAGAGTCTTGATGATTCCTCTTTTGGTAGATTGATGGTGGTTGGATTCGTGATTCAGGTAATGTCCCGTGTGAGACGGGACTTTACCTGACTTTCTGTCTGTCCTCTTCACCTAGAATGGTGAGAATGGTCAAAAACATTTATGGAAATGTAAAACAAATTAAATGATGGAGGAGTAGAGAGCTAAAACCTTTCCTTCCTAAAAATGAATCTCTTCTGAAAATATAAAATAAAATGACAAAAATAACTACTTGAAGGTTTAGAGAACATCTCTTTTGAAAATATGTGGGGTATTCAAAAAATACAACTTTGGTAAAAAACAAATTTAGTGAACACCCTTTACATTTTTGGTTATTATTGGAATATACCTTCCATTATTTTCTACAATTGTAATTCTTTTCTCAACTAGGGAAATAAGTATCATCTACATCGTTTATATAACCTGTATATTATTTGGTTACCATTAATTAACTGAAGATCTTCTTGTAGGAAGATTCAAAAACAAAACCTGGGTAGAAGTGAACGATATCTTGAAATATGAAGAAGACGAATTGGTATCTCGAGAAAAGAAGACTGCAATAATTACGGAATTCAACAATATCAAATCCGTTCTCAATAAACTGGTAACGGAAAACATTGAAGGTCCCGAGAACCAGAAGATCGATCTTTTGGAATTTTACCTGGACACCACGTCCTTCAACCAGAAAAAGCTGAAGAACAAAGAGGACTGCAAACGAGAGGAGATCTATTTGAAAGCTCTGATCGAAGCTCAGGACCGAGTATCCCAGCATCTATTGAAAACCTATTTGGAAGCGATGGGATCACCAGCCAAAATGATACGGGGGATGTTTCAAAATGTCATTGCCACCAATTATACCATGCTGCCTGTCGATCCGGTGAGAAACAGGAGGCTTGCTTGGGTCGAAGAGCAGAGAAAGGTTGAAACATTTTTGTCTGTTAAGGATACTTTCGAACCATGGGTGATCATCAAGAGGGAGTAAATATATTTCATTTTATTATTATCTATAGATATTGAAGGTCAGAAAAGACAAAGTGCAATAGTGTTGTATACGTGGTTGTATTATTCTACTGTGGTCGGGTGGACTAAAAATTATATGGATTCCATACTAGTAGCGCCATCTGTGTGTTACCCTATAAACCTTTCAGTCCACCTAACAATCATCATTCATTTTGAAAATTATATCACTGGCAGAAATGTAAAGCCTATGAATGAATAGTTTAGCAAAGCAACCTCTTATATTTTTGTGTTTCATTCCAATTCTATTTTTGATTCCGTTTGAATAGTACACGACGCAAGGAGAGGTCGTCCTTCGCCCATTCGTGTAACAAGTTAAACACCCTTTTTATGTTTTTAAAATTATATCCTCTGTCTATTTGTGTTTGTAAGTATCGTAGAGTTAATTATGTTTCGGACACTCATAGAAAATATGCAAATCTGAAATTCAGAAAAAATCCGTCAAACAATTTTAGTGTCAGGAAAGTTTCTGGGGCCCCTCGAAAAAGTGTGCACAAAAGTGACAATTTTTCTATAGCCTCAATAGCACAGGAACTGACGGAAATATTTTCTGATCATGTTTCCATAACTGCATGCTTCTGGATGCAAAATGGAAACAAATTATTCATTTTTACAAATTATGGATAACTTCGAACATATTTTGATTGGCAATATATTTGGGATATATTTCTTATGTATGGAAGAATTATCTCTCTCTGGATCTGAAAATTACTCGATGATCTTGATATTATATTTGATTTCAGGACACTAGCCAGTAGGCTTTTGCAGCCATTGAAGTTAACCACTAAGGATTACAGTACTATGTCGGCTAGAACTCTCCTTGATGAATCTCCAGTTAGTCGCTTGACGGTAGACTCACAAATCGCTTACTACGGCACAGTTACTCAACTTTACGTCGAAAGAAACCTGGAACATTATAGGCAGAGGCAGATTGTTTCGTTCTATCAGTGTGATCTTCAACAAACGATGACAGAGGTTTGTTAATCCCGTGTATTGTCATAGCAAACCAGTACAATGGAATTTAGTTAGCAAACTTACGCCAATCCAACTGGCTATCATCCTGATGCTCAAAGTTATAGGGTTTCAGGAATAGAAGTTATTATATTGGTGACTAATACCAACTATATAAGTGTAATTTGAAATATTAATTATGTCAGAACACGTTTCGATGCGTGTCAGTATCTGGTGACATTAGCCAGGAATATTTTTACTTCCTGTTCAAGCATTTTGATAGTTGATTTATTTTAGGTTTGGTACAAAACAATTCCCCCACCATTGGACTTCAAGGATGTCACATGATCTTGAGCTATGCGCACGCCATATGAGCGTGAACACGGAGTTTAACCTTCACAATCGAATTTGTCCTTGAGACATGAGTGCCTCCAATCGAGTACACTGCACCTTTGACTACCAAAGGGTCGAAAGTGGCACTGCAAAATATCCTTGCACCACTGGATTTTCGTTCTGAGTGAACATCACGGTAACCGTCTGCTCAGCGAGCAGGGGATCATCATGAATCCTTCCACCACTGCCTCCTATTGTGAACTGAAAGCTTCAATTGACTGCTTTTATAAGGGCACAATCCCCTCTCCACTTCAATCCGAGGTAAATTTATGACGTTTCATTCAAGGTCACTCAGGCTCAAGGTCATTTATCAAGGACAAATTCGATTTACAAGATCAAACTCTGTGTTCAAGGTCATATGACGTGCTTATAGCACAAGGTTTTTTAGGGTCTTCAACGTCATATGATGAGAACATAGCTCAATATTAAGTGACGTCGTTCAAGGTCAAGATCAAATGGTGGGGGGAGGTTTTAGTATCGGTATAAATCAACTACTCATTTTTCAGTTCATATCAAAGCATCAGACTTCTTAATTTAGTTATTTTTCCAGAATTGCAACAGATTTCAGTATCGAAATTTCGATTCTAGGCTGACGTTGTTAAAATTAAACTGGTATTCAATGAATCCTTCGATAAACTGGTGGATATGAAGTACCGCGAATTGGAAGTCGTCAAAGAAAAACACAAGCGCCTTCGACACATTATATCCGAGTACAATTTCTTCTCCACGGACAAAATCGTCATGGATATCGTGGACCCAGAATGGACACAAGAAGAAGAACCGTGGAGGATAGCAACAGTGGAAGACAAAGAGTTGGCCATCACGCCTTATGTTAGCCCGAGCGAACAGGCCATTCTGGATGCTGCTGCAGCTGAAGAAGAAAGAATCAGGCTGGCGCTGCTCGCGGATGACTTTAGAGAACGAGCCCTCATGACTATGATGAATGGTGTGCTGGAGATAAAGTGGGAGGATGAACTGAAGAAGGATGTACCGTTGCCTAAATGTATGGTACTGTATGATTTTTTCATAACTACTTACAAGCGTCGTTGAAAAATCTCGAGAGCTAAGTATAATTTTGAAAGTGTTCAGTCTCTGTAATAACGAGATTCCTGCAGAAGTTCCAGATAAAAAGTTAAGTTTTCAAAAAATGTTTCGTATACAATTTTCATTGTACTTCGTATGTTTCGTATACAATTTTCAGACATACATCAACGTATTGTGTTTTTTGAAATATTATCTCATACACTAGATTTCCAGTGCAAACGTGGTTTTTTTTTCGAAGAAATGAGATATATTTTTTGCAAAACTGAATTTTCAAATTTAACTTTATTCAATTATTTTACTGAAATAATATCATTGATGAAGGGGTGAAGGAAATTTTTAGAGGAATAGCATATTGTTCTTTCTCAATCTGATCCTATGTTCGTATATATCTGCAGATGCAGACTGTCGAAATTCTCATATTTTCTCTACTTCAAGATTTTATTCGGATATAAGCCTTTGCAAAAGTATAGAATTGAATCATTTTGTTAATATCAAATTTCATCTAAACGATAATTACAACAAAAAGTCTAAAAAAGTTACGGTAAGTAGACCATGGCAATGAAATTGTAAAGAAAACTATATTGTATAACGTGGGTTGTTAAAAAAAATGAGGTGAATGTTGAAATTTCGGGGGTTATGTATATTCAACAGGCGATTTTTCATGGTTTCGAATATAAGTTTACAATTTCAGCTGCTTAGCATGTTTAGTTTGTTGGTGAAATAATCCGGTCAATCTAGACATTGGAAGGTACATACATTTACAATAAGCTGCAAACGCGTGTAATTGTTCAAAACATAGTTGAAAATAAGATTTTAATTGAAATGAAAAAAATGTAAAAATTTATTCATCTGAGTCATAACCTTCGAATACTTCTTCTTGTCGTTCTTCTTCTTGGTCTTCTTCTTCTTCTTGATCTTATTCTTCTTGATGTTCATCCTGGGTCTAGATAAACTGCGTCAAGAATGATGTATCGCATGTTTCCTCGTTGGTATCAAATGAATCCTCCACTATTGGTGATTCAGCATTAGAACATGACTGGCCTTGACAATGTGTACATGCCAGAGAACACAACCGTCCAACTTTTTTACAACCACATTTAGCGCTGCATCCCTTTTTACACTTGCAAAAAATTGTGTTCAGCAGTTTTTCCGGCGCAGGTGGGAGTAAAGTCTGAACAGGTTCTAATACATTGTCGATCAAATTCCAACCCCAGTCTTTTGGGTCTAGCTGATAACCAAGCCACACTTGAACTTGGTAATATACCCGGCAAAGATGTTGATGAGCAACTGAGGTTGGAGGAAGACAAGCTGATTGCACCTGTTTCTTATTTTTACTGTTTTTTACATGCATATCGATATTTATCTAAGCAAGTGTTTTTTTCGGAGCTTTGTACATAGAAAGGAAAAAGTGAATCCCGTTGGTGATAGTTTCTTGTTGAGTCGAATTATTTTTTTTGAAAACTTCAGCACATTGAACTAAATCTTGTTTTCAAACATTTTGAAGACTGTTGCTTTACCCCTCCTGTCAAATGCAGAAGTCGTATCACAGCCAGTTATTGCGTGTAAAAATAGTACATGATTTTGACTCTTTGCAAAAGTAGATAAACTTTTTGACGAATATATTTCGCTTTGACTATGAGCTTTTCCTGGCTTCAGAAAGAAAATAGTTTTTTCAGGTGAAGTTCGAGCAGTAAGAAGTACGAGAAAGTCTTCATCTTCACCAACAACAATAGTTATATTTGTCAAATTAAATTGCTCTATAACTGTTTCAATAATCAGTACGTCGGCATCGTTATTAGCATGTTTAACCAATATATTTTCGCCAATAAACTTATCCTTCAACATTGAAATGAACCGAGATTTGTTGTGAGTATTTGCAAGAAATTTCTGTTGACTGGTAGGAACTGTCATAAGTTAATCAAATAGAATATCGGAAGATGAAGATTTTGCTAAAGTTCGACGACGTTGTTCTTCAACTTCAATATTTCTCGTGCAATCATCATAGCCATCAAATACGACCGTAATTCTGGCACCAAAATGTCTAAGTATATACTGAACGTATTTATCTAAAATATATACTGAACGTATTTATCCAAAATAATGCTAAATGTTTTTCACTATCCCACACAACACGATGTAGTAAATATTACCGTCAATGATGTATGTCGTATTAGTATTGTTAATTTCAATATTGACCTGTTGGAAACAATCGTAAATGGCAGACTTCTGTGTTTTAAGCATCCCAAGGTCATCAAACAACGATAAAGGGTAGGGAACCAATTCATATTCAAAATATTTCTCAATTTCATCTTGAAATTCTGCAGTTATACTCATGTGCTGGAACAATAATACAGGGTCAACAGGTACTTTTTCTTCATGAACTTTTATAGTACTTCTCATCGCTAATAGAGGAACAACTTTGTCTGCGCGTTTGAATTTAATATCATTCAATGTTAGTCGTGTTATTTTCGCCATAGAGGTAAGTCCAACTTCACGAGCTTTATAACAGTTCATTTTATCAACACCAACGACACCACATGCAATAGATATAGTTCTGTTCACCTCTGGAAAATGATCATGTATTAAGAACCACTCTAAAAGTTTTTGGATGTCTTTAGCATCTTGTTTTACTCTTGAGTCACTCATATACGTGGCATACTTATGCATATAATGACGATTACAACTTTTACAACTTTTTGACTCGTCGTATCTCAGAAACGGTGGCTCTAAGAAAAAAAAGTATTGAAACATTTTTTGTAGAGAGTTTTAGGATCTACAATTTTTATTTGCAATTATTATATGATAAAACTTACCGTTTTCCTGAAAATCGCAAAAAACCAAATTTTTTCGAGATTTTTGACGTTTGACCTCGAATACATTTTTTTCCAGGCATCGCAATCATTCGGAATTTCAAAATCTCATTTTTAACTATATTTTGAACGATTACACGCATTTGCAGCTTGTTGTAAATTTATGCACCTTCACTCTTATTTTTTAGTCTAATTTGATCGGACTAAAAGGCATAAAAGTTAGAAGTGTTTCGCGTGTTGGGTGATTTTCTGCTATCGAAAAATATGGATCGAAGAATCTGCATCAAATTTTGAGTTGAAAATGGAATAGAGTGCTTAGAAACACTTGAAATATCAATAGTGGCATACGATGATTGTACTCTGACTCTGAAAAATGGGGTTTACGCTTTTCATAGAAGGTAGAGAAGATGTGAATAACGACTACCACCCTGAACTCACCAACAACCGATGAAAATGCTGAGAAAGTGAAAACAATTGTTATATAGAATCGTCGAATTACTATTAGAGAAGTTGCTGAGGATGTTGGCATAACAATTTTGGCATAACAAATTTTGAGCATGACGTGTGTGACAATGAAATTCGTTCCAAAATTGCTGAATTTTGACTCGGTCAGAAATTGTTGAATGACGTCAACAGCGATCCGGATTTGCTTCAAAGGGTCATAACTGTCGACGAATCCATGGGTATATGGTAATGACATCAAAACCAAAGTCCACTTGTCCCAATGGAAGAGCCCAGGAGAGCCAAGACCAACAAAAGCACATCAAATTCGATCAAATGTCAAGGTTCTTTTCAGTTTTCTTCTATCATCGTGACATAGTGCATCAGAAGTTCTTGCCACATGGTCGTACGTTCACTAAAGAGTTATTATCTTGGAAGTTATGCGCCGCTTGCGAGAAGCAATACGAAGATTTCACCAGATTTGCCTCCCTGGGATTTTTTTTCGTTTCTATGATTGGAAAGGCCCTTGCAAGGATGGAGTTCTGCAACAATTGATAGGATAAAACCGAATCGCTGATGGAGCTCGAGGACATACAAAAAGTGCATATTAGAACTGTTCCAAGGATTGGAAAAACGCTGGTACAAGTGTATTTTATCTGAGGGGAGTACTTTGTAGGAGGCAAAATAGAAATTGATGAATAAATGAGTAGTTTACTTTTCCCAGATAGCCTTATAAAGTATATCTGTGAACAGACTAACCTTTATTCTGTACAGTGCCGTCCAAATAAACCTGCTAATATAAAAGAGTTCGAAATAGAGCAATTCATCGGTATTACCATGTACATGTCCCTTATTCAGCTGTCGGCCACAAGGCATTACTGACATTATACGATCGGCCATCCTGCTGTGAGCAACGTGATGAGCTGTAATAGATTTGAAGAGATAAAGCATTTCTTACACTTCAACAACAATGATGACATGACTGGAGTCAAACTGGATACGATAAATGGTTCAAGATCAGGCCATTTCTTACCCAAATAAGACAAAGGTTACTGCAAGTTCCGAAAGAAGAGTATCTTGCTGTAGATGAACAGATTATTCCAACAAAAGCTCGAACACAACTCAAACAATATAATCCGGAGAAACCACATAAATGGAGTTTCAAAAATTTTGTCCTCAGCGGTATATCTGGCTTTAGTTATGATTTCGATCTGTTTGCAGGAGCACAAAGCAATACTGTACCTCTAGGAGCTCCAACTCTTAGTATTAGTAGTAATGTTGTTGTGAAGCTATCTCAATCTATACCAAGACATCAGAATTTCAAATTTTTTGACAATTGGTTCTCCAGTGTTCCACTCAGTACGCCGACGATACACAATTGTATTATTCATTCAATTTCACATACCTCACACAAGGTAATGAAAATACCTCACTGTAATCACTGTATGACATATCTTGTGCACATAAGTTAACCAATAACCTATCAGAAAACTCAGGTTATGTCAGTCAGTACCGTAGTTCAGATGTGAATGAAAATTTGAATATAATCAAAACAAGAGGAATGCATTTTTTTGGATCAAGTTTTATCTGAAGAAACATAACATTTGAAATTCTAAGAATTGGTTAATATTTTAGGAAAACAATTCGGGAGAACGAAGATATCATACAGCAGCTGCACGAAACGATTTTGAAAGTTAATGAAGCCCTCAATGAATGCAAGGTCAGTTTGGAAACCCTGCAGACCAAAGAAAAATTACTGGAAAAGGCATTCAGGAGAGATTTTCAGGAAGCTTCACCCATAGTGCAAGAACAAGCGCTGAAACTATACAAGTAAGTAGATTATACCGTATTTTCAACTTTCATTTGATAATAGTTTGGCTTCCATTTCCCTATCTTTATGAAAAAAATTATGAGAAACTCACAAAGAGAGGAAAACAGCAATTGAATTCAAAGTAAACTCATTAAAAAGATGTATAAAAAGGACTTATTGACAGATGCAAACCAGAAAAAGAAGCCCCCCGAAAGCATTATATTCACATGCATACTGAATTTCAGGAAAAAAGAATTACTTGCGAAATGTTAAAGCAGTTGTTTCAGGACGGCTTTTTCTCTTTCAGTTTGTATCTTAAAGTGACTTCTAAGCATAATCTTCACATATTTGTGTGAAGAATTCCATTGTTTTCTCTCTTCCTTTGGAAGCTCCCCACAGATTTTTGTATAAAGATGAAGAATTGACAGTCCGAAAGCTTTCTTTCTCAAAAATCAATCTCTCCTTTGAATATTATCCTCCAATTCAGGGAGAATGTCCCACTTCTGAAACCAAATTGTATGATTCCCGAAGTATCAAAAGCACAGCATTAAATGAAATTGAGCTCCTGTCTATACATTTGGAAATTATCTAAAATGACTAAAATAAGCAATGAATTGATGAACATTTTAAACTTTTCAGAAAACGACCTAGGGCTACCTTCCGCCAAATGAACACAGTGGCTGGAATGTTTGAACTCGCCAAGTGCATCGTTACTCAAGAAAATACTCTGATACTGACCCAAGACGCTCTTGACTATATGAAAGCTGTTGACCATCTCGACCAATTTGTAGGCCTGCCTCCTTCTATAGATGAACATACATATGCTCTGATCTGCAGGCATAGGAGGCTGAGGCTGGAGTATGAAATCAAGGTACATTTAACGCGAGCACTGCTAACACAGTCGAAGTGTTGACCATTACAGTGTCAATTGATGTTGTAGTGTTTTCGGTTACTTCATTATTTGTTACTGCACAACGAAAGTTCATGATTGAAAGAATGTAGTATTTCTTGGGACAATAACCGTACTTTGAGCACCTAATTTTTGTCTTGCAGTTGAAGGGGATCCAGATGCAGATAATGTTTGGAGAAGCCACAGTTTCATCTTTCCAAAGACGAGTGGCATTTAAAAAAGAGAAGAACGCAAAGTTGCTGATGGAGAAACAGAAAGTCAGGAGTGACTATTTGTACTTGAATCACAATATACAATTTCAAATCGTATTGAGAAGGGGTTTGGTTGAGATCCCACTGACTGGGGATATTCGGGATTTTCAAGATGCAATACTTGTACCCAGAGTGGAAATTGAGAATATCAATGAAAAAATAAGGGTAGGTGATTTGGCTGGAGAGTTTTTGAAATATTCGCAAAGTTACTATAGTAAAACCAATAATGATTGAGAGTAAAGCGCGTTGTCATATCTAAATTTTACGTTACCAGTTTATAGCAGAATCAAAATATAGTAAGCAGTAGAGTTGTAGGTTGTGGCAAATTATAGATAATACACAATACTAGTACGATTAAAAGGTATTATTTATGACAAAAATCAGTAATGAGCTTGTAATGAGTAATACTTATACATTTCCTGATTACTGATCAGTTAAAATTCATTATTTTCTGTATAGT